CACGTGTAAAAGGGTGAGATAACACAGTGTGGAGCTGGAGGAACACCACTTCTTCTTCATTTCTGAAGAAGGGTCCCGACCCGAAACGTCAGCTTTTCTGCTCCTCTGGTGCTGCCTGGCCTGCTGTGCTCATCCAGCTCCCTCCTATTACAGCAAGTTCCAATCCCGCTGCTATTTTTCAGAACAAGGGCAATTGGTGCATGGGAATACGACCACTGCAAATTCCTCTCCAAGTCACACTCCATCCTGGCTTGGACCTAAATTGCTATTCCATTATTGTCACTAAATCAAAATCCTGAAACTCCCTTCCTAACAACACTATGGGTGACCTACATGGACTGCAGTATTTTCGGGAGGTGGTTCACCATCAACTGCTCAACGGCCATTGTTGACAATCATAGCCTTGTAAACAACATGCATATTCGGTGAGGGAGAAAACTGAAACAGATAAATTTTTAAAGGGAATACCTTACTGAATTTTGAGAAAAGGGCAGCAAAATACAAAATATTAGATGGCATTTTCAAAGAGACAGCACAGACACCATGAGTTGAATGGTCTTCTGGAGTGCTGTTATATTCTGTGGTAATCTGAAGGTCACTGAAGGGTATATTTTCTTCCACTTGATAATGTTAGATAAGGTGTCAACCTAAACATGAATCAGCTCTGCTTGACTTTATACACTTGTTTCCATCAACAAGAGAACATGCACACTACCTTGTCATCTAGTTTTATCACTGAAAATGGTGCATAAATACAGTTCAGAAACATAATAGGTGGGTGGTACTGACTACAGGGAAAATGATTCTAGCAAAGAATTCAAATGGCAATGATCCATGAATTATCTGAATCCTGTGCTAAGACGATCTTCACTCCCACCTATCACTCAGTGTGAAGTAATTTTCTATCTGCAGCGATGATGACAAAAGGAAATGAAACGTTTATGTTTAATGAACATCATGGCAAGAATCATTCTCTCAGCATGCTCCTCTACATGTCCTTTTGCTTTTAATTACAGATACAGCAGTAATGAAATACTGTCTCAAATAAAATTAGTGCAGCTTTCTTGACCTGAATACTTGCTCTATATAATAATGGTTATTTCCCCTAGTTATTATACTTCTTTTAACACTGCCATCATTGCATTAGATTATCTATAGTTGCAAACTAACAATGATTATAGATTGCTTGACACCTAGTTTAAAGACGGGGAAATATACAGAATTGAATCACAACAATTAGAAGGTCACAGATTCTATTTCCCATTTTTGTTGAGTTATCTGAGTAAGTCAAACAAACTTGAATTGGTGTCAAGAAGCTATAGTCAGTGATGTCTGAAGTGATTAAGATGCTGTAGGAGCAATGCCTGAAACCACTTCTGAGACTCTGCGCTCCTTTCCAGAGTCCTGAAAATGCAGGAATATACAGGGCATATGATGATACTGTGGATTTCAGAGGTGCATTGTGTCCTGTTTTTTGTTATGAAGAGAGGTTGAGACAGAGGTGTCGATCAGTCTGCTTCAAGCCAATAAAGTAAATAGCTTGTGAGACCTTGGAATTTTTTTTTAAGTTGGAACAATAGAAGCAGCATGAGGAGTTGCGATCAAGCTCCCACAGAGTCAGGATTTTACTTTAACTTTCAGTAGCTGTTGGGGTTTGGAAGCTGCTATGTATCTCTCCCTGCTACAGCAAAAACGCTTGCGTTTTATCTCTCTCTCAGAAATTTCTCTTGATGTCCTTTCCTCCTGAACTAGAGATCTGCATATGAGATAATCTATTTTTCTGAATTTGCCTTTGCCAAGGGTGTGTTTACAGGATGTTTCTATCTTGAAACAGTCAATCTGTGGTAGTTAACATATATAATATATGTTAAGTATTTTGACAGAATTACAATTAAGCAAATTTTTTATTCATATTATGTTGTATTTTAACGACATGTAAGAATAATGAGTGTTTTGTTTCAAGCCTGGTAGTTTGACCAATCAAATTGCGTCCAGAACATAACATCTTAGACTTGCCTTTTATAATAAGAAACATACAGGAGTACTATTGAGGAGAGTGCTGGATTTTTCCTGACTGTGTGACAACAAGGTCATAAAGCCACAGGGTGAAGCAGGAGGAGAAAGTTAAGGAAGTTGAAGTTCAATTATCAGTAACTATATCTGATCAAATGGTTGGAGAAAAGAAAACAAGAACAGATGGAGGACAAGGTGGATATATTTAGTTTGGAGAAGCTAGCTGAATTACAACAGAAAGATGAGGAACTTAAGCAGTTGTAACAAACAGCATACACAGAAGAAGAATCTGAGTGCGTCCCATGAAGCTTGATGAGGAAAAGAAAAGCATCACGTTTTCAGGCAAATGAAAAATGAGCAAAAGTTCATCACGTTGTATTACCGGTAGGTTACAGAAGGAACGTATTATGGGTAGCACATGAATTAGCAGTAGGAGGTCATTTAGGGGTAAGGAAAACTCAAGCCACTCAAGATTTATATTCGGATATTTTGCAGGGTGAAAGAAAGGATGAAATTGTCAAAACAGTGGCTGGATTTGGACTGTGATAAAATATTAAATATAGATTTACGGTAATTGGAGAAAGAGCCAGAGGTGAGATTAGGATAGTTTTATTTATGCCCTGATTTATGACGACCTGGAATGCACCACCTGAATTAGTGGTAGAAGCAGAATCAATATAACTGCAAAAGGGACTTGGGAACATTTCAAGGCTATGTAGAAAAGACAGACAGTGAGACTAATTGCATAGTTCTTTCAAGAAGGTGAAAGAGATTTTTTCTTTCTGCATTCTTTGATGGTGTGTTGGCAGAGCAGACAAGGTCAGCATTTATGTCTGTCCTTAAATGTTTTTGAACTGAGTGGCTTGCTAAACACAGGGCAAGCTTCTGTGGATCTGGAGTCACATGTAGATCAGGCTGGGTAAGGATGGCAGATACCCCTCCTGAAAGGATATTAGCAAATCAGATGGGGTTTATAGCAATTATGATGGGCTGAGTGGCCTCTTTCTGTGTTGAAAAAAAAATTGCCTGACAAGACAGGAAGGATTCCGAAGCTTTCCAAATGCTGCAACCAAAAATACAGATAAAGTCATAATAGTCCTAGAGGGCTGATGTCTCATTAGTGAGAGACAACTAGTTGTGAGTTAAGCCTGATGGGTCACCACAGCTCACGAGGGACTAGGTTGAGAAGATAATGAAGCTGGTGCAGGAACTGAACCCACAATGCTGGCATCAATCTATGCTGTAAACAAGCCATCTAACCAAACAAATGTAAGAATGGTCATGTATATTAAACTGGACAGTGAAACCTCAGAATAGCATTGCACATCATTCATTCTATCAGTCTATTTGAGTCAGATTAATGATGAATACTGAATAGTGACAGTTTCCATCAGGTACCTATATGATTCATGAGTCAGCTGGATTGTCCAAAGTATAGCTGATCATATAGAGCAGCACGGTGGCTCAGTGGTTAACACAGCCTCACAGCGCCAGAGACCCAGGGTCGATTCCAGCCTCAAGTGGCTGTCTGTGTGGAGCTTGCACATTTTCCCCGTGCCTGTGTGGGTGTCCTCCAAGTGCTCTGGTTCCTTCCCATAGTCTAAAGATCTGCAGGTTAGGTGGATTGGCTATGCCAAATTGCCCCATAGTGTCCAGAGATGAGCAGGGTTGGTGGATTAGCCATGGGAAATGCAGAGTTACAGGGATAGGGTGGGTCCAGGGGGTGATGCACTTCAGAGGGGAGGTGTGGACTTGATGGGCTGAATGGCCTGCTTTCCCACTGTCAGGAATCTATAGCAGTTTTAATTCTGGCCTGGATGAACTAAGCTGAAAAGTCCACTGCACTTTGTGGCATCCCAATCGATATATTCAAAATATCTTTTTCCTCCTAACATCACTCACTCAGTGCCTACTCCATGCAATGTAAATTGTTTTAGTTCCAGATCCTTGTCCACCAAAAAAATAGCCTGTCAGAACATGTGACCTGTGGAACGAGAATGCCCTTCCCTTAAAAGTATTACTGTCTCATTGGGATTTGAGTCCAGCTTCATGATAGTGGAGGATGCAATTAATTAGGGTTCCACAAAATAGCATCTTAATTATTCAATGTCCTATGTATATTGTCACTCAAATGGATATTGGTCAAATCAAGCAGAATTTCATAATCCTCGTTTACACAAATTCAAAATGAAGATATTCTGGTGAAATACCCACTAGATTGAAGCACAGGCTTTCACATTTTCCAATGGACCACTCATCCAAATGCAGGTATACATTTGATCAACATACACTCTGACTCAAGGGTCAGCATTTCGAACCTTTCAACACAAAGTAATTAGTGTTGATCAATGCAGGTGTATTTGACCGAATTGCTCAGTAAGTGAGAGATCAATCCTTCTGAACTGAATATAAAAGTTGAGATTGAGGATTGCTGCGCTGTCAGTCTGTTTAATCATGTTAAGTTCATACGATCAACAAAGATCTCCCAGCTACATTAAACTTTTTGAAGCTTAAGAAATTTACATCATTGTCACTTCTCATTTTTAAAATTTTTTTCTCGTTCTATACGCATCAAAGGAGTAACATGTTGCCATCAGCTTGTCTATTCTATTTGACCAACTGCTCTTTCATTATTCACCTGCTGTCACCAATGTTGTTTCTTCAACAAAATGATGCTGTCAAGCGATAGAGAGAAATTGCCATTTTTAATAATGATTAAAGGACTAACTTAAATGGACATAATAGCAGACTTGTCAAAAACGTCAGTTGTACAGCATGTTGCCTGTTCCTTTTGCGTAAAAACAAATAAAGTCAGTGTTGCTCTAGGTAGCACGTTTTTGCATGCCCTGAGGTGTTTCTAGTTGTTTTGCATTGCATTTATGTCTAATGTGTCTCTCTACCAGTATCTTTTTACACTTTTCTCCTGCTCAAAGACACTTCCTAATTTATCTCTCCATCCATCTCTTGATGCTTTATCTTGATTGATTTTCAACCACTCAGAATTCTTCTTTAGAATTAAATGCTTATATTTGCATTGGAAAAAAGATATAGAGTGAATCCCAATTATAGGAAATACAACATGTAAAATTGGTATGCTGGTATGAGACACCAACACACCACGACAGGGGTAAACTAATGCAACTAAAAGGTGCATTAACCTGGTAGAAGTAATGGCCCATTTTCACAGTTTAAAGTTCAAGGAACGGAATCAGAAAGAAGGCATAATATCCAGATGAATACCAAGCAGCTCTAGCCTGAATATGTTTTTTTCTATCCTTCTTAGGTTATGGCCATCATCGTTAGCAAGGTATGCATTTATTTCCCATCCCTACCCACCCTTAGGAAGATGATGGTGAACCACCTTCTTGACCTGCAGCAGTCAATCAGGTAATCTCAGTGAGGTGGGGCAGAGAGTTTAATTCAGCCATAGTGAAGGAACGGCAGTCTACGTCAAAGTCATGATTCCGTGTGCCTTAAAGAAATACAATTTGCAAATCCACAAGTTCAAGTTCTTAAGTTCCACGTTTAGCCACTTGCAATGTATAAATGGAGCACCATCAACTTAACACAGTCTCCAAATTGTCAGGATTCTCCATCATTATCCAGCAGTTGATGGGTATGGTAGAGAACAACAGAAGCTTACCTCCAAGGACTGCAGATGATAGGACATGAGTTCCGTATTTTCGGATGATGGTGTCTATCACCTGCTGGGTTGAAGGTCTCCTTCCCAGCAAGCGGATGCTTCTCTGGAATTCTGGCATTAGTGGGATAGGGTTCCGGATTAAGTCCCTCCTTTCAACCGCTGTATTTCTCACCTTCCAACGTGCAAATTCTCTGCAATGACAATATGGGAATAGTTAAAATTAAATGTGTGGAAAGATGGAATGGTCAAAGCTGAAGATTGAAGCAAACATTTTCAGCCAAACTATTTGGGTAAACTCTAAATGACGTTACTTCATCCTCCTCCAGCTGCCCACATCTCCTCATATTGAAGATTTTTTTTTTAAATGTTGATATCACTGGCTAGGCCAGCACTTATTGTCCATCCCTAATTGCCCAGAGGGCAGTTCAACATTAACCACATTGCTGTGGGTCTGCAGTCTTATGTAGGCCAGACCAGGTAAAGATGGCAGTTTCCTTCCCTAAAGGGCATTAGAGAACCAGATGGGTTTTTCCTGACAATGGTCAATGGATTCATGGTTATTGTTAGGACCCTAATTCTAGATTTTTATTGAATTCAATTCCCAACATCTGCCATGGCAGGATTTGAACTCAGGTACCCAGAGCATTATCTAGATCTCTGAATTAATGATTCAGCGATAATACCACTAGGCCATCACCTCCCTCCTCTGGATCTCTCTGGTTTCAATTTATAGGCCATGAAAGAATCTTGCAGTGAATGTTAGTGTTAGGTGGGCATTTAATGAGTTGGGAGAAAGCTGGCTGTCTTCCTGTCTCCAACTTGAGTAAGTTTATGGTAAGCAAGCCTGTGAATATCCTAAAGTTGTGAGGCCCTTAAGGTTTGCAATGAATCACTTCTTAGGGTTTCATCACAACACTGTTGGTTGTCAACCCAATGAATGGGAGGTCTCATCAAATTGGGAGTTTGACAAGGAAAGGGTGAAGGATTTGGTGCAGCTTCCTGGGAAGGGTGTGGAGGCAGGCGGCGGGGGGGTGGTTGTGGAAGGTCAAAGAGTCAGAGCGGTCCCTTGACCCAAATGTAGTAAGTTCCTGATCAAAGGCATCAGAAAGGAGAGAGCGAGGCCAATGAGAGTCATCCCTAATGCTCTGTGACCCCTGTCCCATCGTCGCTGTGACCTGGGATTCACCAATGATCCTAGGCCTTGGGCAGATGTCATACCAGCAGAAACCATCACCTCAGTGGTGATGTTATGTTTTAATCGTGTTGCTAGCCTCTGATTGATCAGCTACCTCTAGGCAAGGAGGTCCTTAATTGTGGGTGAGCTTGTCACTAGCCTGTCAAGAGTTTGTGGAAGAATGAGCAGCCGGCGTACTTGAAAAGAAACATTGAGAGTCCCTTGTTAACTTTCCAGTTAGACCCTGGTGCCTCTAAACATTCAAGTTCATCCTCTTCTACAAAACTACTCATGGTAACATGCAGCTAACCCCTTCAAAGGGGAGTTTTACTGGCATTGGAGGTAGTCCAGAGGAGGTTCACCAGGTATGAGGAGACGTTGAGTAGGATGGGCCCTGTACTCGGATCAGGGTTTAGAAGAATGAGAGGCAACCTTATTGAAAAATACAACATTCTCAGAGGACTTGACAAGGTTTATGCGGAAAGGTTGTTTCCCCTTGTTGGAGGGTCCAGGATCTGAAGGCATCATCTCAGAACACATGGTGGCATATTTAAGACACAGATAAATAGGAATTTCTTCTTTCACAGGGAGTCTGTGAAATTATTTATCACAGAGGGCTGTCAAAGCTGGGTCATTAAGTATATTCAAAACTGAGGTAGACAGATTTTTAATCAGTAACAGGATCAAGGGTAAGAGATAACAAGGTGTAGAGCTGGATAAACACAGCAGGCCAAGCAGCATCAGAGGAGCAGGAAGGCTGACGTTTTGGGCCTAGATCCTTCTTCAGAAATCTGATTCTTCGTCAGCCTTCCCGCTCTTCTGATGCTGCTTGGCCTGCTGCGTACATCCAGCTCTACACCTTGTTATCTCAGATTCTCCAGCATCTGCAGTACCTACTATCTCTGAGAGTATCAAAAGTTACAGGGAAAATAGCTATAGGAACCTTCAGGTAAGTTACTTACACTGTCGTAAGGACAGATTTCAAACTGGCTTTCTGGCAGATCTTTAATTTAAGAGGTAAACAATGTAAAAAAGGTAGAGCACAAGGACGAAAAGGGTAGAAAAGATTATTGAGTCATAATAATGAAAGTGATTATTCTATGCTGCAAAAATAAAATGCTGAAGATCACAGCAGGTCAGGCAGCATCCGTGGAGAAAAATAAGCTAACATTTCGAGTTTAGATGACTCTTTATAAGAGCTGTGATCCACAATTATTTTATGACTGGCTTTATGTTCACAAAACAAAGAATGCATACTATACCATACTCGTACAGTATTGAAGATTTGCGGGAATGTCATGTATTTAGATATATGTGAAATACTTCATGGAACATGTCTCTATCAAATATAATTGGTAACTGCGATCATAATGTAATTAGATCTCAAGTAATTAAGGAGATGGACCAAATAAAGTGAAAATACCCAAGTGGAAGAGACATGATTTTAGTGATTTAAACTGAGATCAAGCACAGGTGGTTTGGAAGTTTAGGCTGGCCAGGAAAACAATAAATTAGGTATGTCTTCAAGAAAATTAACAAGAATCCAAGCATTTTCCTATTAGGAGAGAAAAACTGGGGCAATCAAAACAAAAACACCCTGGACCACAAAGGAAGTAATAGTTAAATTAAAAGAGAGAAACAAAAGAAAGTTATGCAAAGTGTAAGGCATGAGGTGGAAAACCAGCCAGGACACAAAAATGAAGAGGGGAGTTGAAAAAAAAACTATGAGAAAAGATTATGTGATAATGTACAAGGGAATACAAATGTTTTGTAAATAGATTAAAAAAAATTTCAAGGCAAGTTGGGGCCCACCGCTGACAAAGGTTTTAAAAAAAAAACCTCTTACATTGTCAAGTTGCACAACTACAGTATTGAATGAGGACTTACAAAGAAACAGGATCAACTTAATGTTGCAGTAGAGCAAGAGATTGATAGTTACAAATATTACGTTCCCATTGTAAAAGGGAGAAAAGAGATAAAGTTTGTAATTATCAAACCAGTTGAAAGACAGTTGTGGAAAAACTGCAAGGAACTATATCAAAGATTAAATGTATTCTCATATTCTCACGTGAAGGTGGTGGTACAGCAGCTCAGTGATTAGCATTGCTGCCTCACAGCGCCAGGGACTGGGTTCTATTCCAGCCTCGGGTGATGATGGAGTTTGCACATTCTCATTGTGTTTGCGTGGGTTTCCTCTGGGTGCTCTGGTTTCTTCCCACAGTCCAAAGATGTGCATGTTAGGTAGACTGGCCATGCTAAATTCCCCAGTAGTGCCCAGAGATGTACAGGCTAGGTGAGTTAGGCATGGGAAATGCAGGGATAGCGTGGGGGTCTGGGTCTGGGTGGGAGCTCTTCAGAGGGTCACTGCAGACTTGGTGGCCTGAATGGTCTTTTTCTGCACTGCAGAGATTCTATGTTGCATGGGACAACCAACAGCTATTTGTTGAATGCAAACCACATCTAATTAACTATGATCAAGTAAGAGAATTTACAATCAGGTAAGAGAAAAGACTGAGGTAGACAAACAGGAGGCTGGAAGAACACAGCAACCAGGCAGCATCTGGAGGAAAGGAGCAGTCAATGTTTTGGATATTACTCTTCTTCAGGGTTACCTTGGATTCCAGCATTTGCAGTTTCCTGTCTCTAAGAGAAAAGATCTGATGCTGATATTACGGTAGATATTGTTAATATAAGTTTTCAAAACGGATTTGACCTATTCAGCAAATGGAAACATGCAATAAAGGGATGGTTATAACTTAGAGATATAATTGACAGAGAGATATGAACTAGGGCACAGCAGTGAATTCAGGTTTTCTGACTAGAAAAAAAGTGCATGTAATAAGAGCTGGTGGTAGAATTGCTGTTTTTGCATTTATGTTGAAATAGTGGACTTTGGTATTTGTGAAACACAATTTAAAACTTAACAGAAAATACAAAACTTGTCAACAAATCATATCCTGAACATTTTAATAGCTAACTCCAGGGGGATATAAACATTTTGTTGTAAAGGACAGACACATGACAGATGCAATGTAAACTGGTTAAGAGTGAAGTGATGTACTTTTTCAAGAACAAAATAGGGAGTTCATGTAATGTGCATGATACTATTCTGATACAGGTACAAGAGCAGTGGGAGCTGGCAATGCACATTCATAAATCCTTCAAGGTAACAATACAAGTTAGACAGCATGGTGGCTGCCTCACAGCACCAGGAGCAGGCTTCGTTTGCACCTTCAGGCAACTGTCTGTGTGGAGTTTGCATATTCTCCCTGTGTCTGTGTGGGTTTTCTTCGGGTGTTCCTTTTTTCTCCGACAGTCCAAAGATGTGCAGGTTAGGTGAATTATCCATGGCAAATGCAGGGGAACAGGGAGAGGGTAGAAGGTGAGTTTGGATGGGATGCTCCTCAGAGGGGTGGTGTGGACTTGATGGGCCAAATGGCCTGCATCCACACTGTAGGGAATTAACAATTCTATGATACGTTGATAAGGTAGTTCGGAAGTATGTGCGAAATAACTGGATTCGTAAATGTTGGAACTCAACAGGAAACCACACTGAACCTTTATCAATGGTGACAGCTGGCTATCACACTTAGGGAAGAATGTCAAGGCTTTGGATCAGGAATTGAAGATACTCACTTGGCTATGATCCAGGATGAGAGACTTCAGTTATGCGACAGATTGGAGTGCTGAATTTGTTCTTAAAGTTGATAGAGTAAAGGGAGACCTAATAGAGATATGCAAAATTATGCAGGCCGCTTTTTCACATTTGAACCAGGCAAGTGGGTCAGTGACCAGAAGCCCTGAATTTAGAATAGTTGTAAAAAAAAACTAAAGGGAAATGAAGGGAGTTTTCTTTACACACAGGTTCTGAGCCCTTTGACATGCGACCTGAAAGACTGATTGAAACAGGTTATTAGGAACTTTCAACAACAGGCAGTTGAGCAGTTTCTTGAAGATCGATAGAATTGCTAGATTATTGTGAAAGATACTGGGCTGAACTGGGCATCTCTTTTAAAG